ATCTCGCTTGCTGACCAAATTTATTCAATTGGCTGAGTGCAGACAGCGTCGAGACTCAGCGGGAAAGGGTGCTGCTCTCCAAACCCGCCAGGCATGATACACAAGGGAGTGTAGGGTCCATGACGGGGGCCTGTTGTTAATCGCGTTACCTCTACCACCATCGTATTGAATTAGTGGTTTATTCTGTTATGTTACGACGACGGATGATGGTACCGCCGCGCAGAAGATAATCTTCGATGTTCCTCCACAGCCACTCCCCGAGTCAAGCTCGAAGCCTGGGACATCAATGCCGTCCCCTGGCGATGCCCTATCCCTCTGTCCTCCACGGTTCGCGGGCTCTACTTAAATTCTCTAATAGTACCAACGCGCTGTTGACAATTGAAACCCATTACTAAAATACTGTATTATTTTGAAACGAAAGTACGACGGATCATATTATCACATTAGCTCACTATGTACATGGTGGCGTCAATCTCCTTCACAAAATAAGTGTGCGTAGTTATGCAGGGAGGATCTGCAGGAACAAACCCGGCTAGCTGACAGGATTTTTATGGTATTCCTTCAACTTGTCCGGATGCACCGCTTTGCAGGCCTCTTCTCTCCATTGCTTCTTGAATGGCGAGAGAGCTTTGAATATACGGAACTGCCCGTTGGATATAGCTGTCATTCGATGAACCGCATTGGGAAGAACCCGAGAAGTTGGAACCCACTCGCGCTTATGGCCCATTTGGCATGCCAGTAGCAAAGTTGAACTTTGACCCCTGGCCACACAGTCGTAACAGCGGCAATTTTTGCGGGATCTTTGTCAATCGCGACGCATCTTGGATTGAACCCGAAATGTTTCAATCGCTGCAGAAATTGTTGAATAATATACGTCATCGCCGCCGGATCTACGCGGACGGGTTTATTCCCTACCCTTTAGGCCTATGGAGGCTTTAGCAGGTCGACCAGACAATTCGCTAGCACAACTCCAGTACTTTCAACTTGAGATAACACTGCAAACAGGTCCACCCCACCGCTGTTGGTTCCGAACGTCGGGTCCATCACCAATTGCGGAGCTGTATCGCGAAGTTTCTGGATAGGTTCCGAGGCAAAAAACGCCAACGCCCTCATGTTTCCTGCTGTGAAAGATAGCGTGGTGATCGCGATAGCGACTGTTTTTCAGAAAGAAGCCTTGTGGCCGAGATGAAGGGATCCGGGTATCGCTGCCAGATCTCGGCATTCACTTTCTGCCAGAGATGGTAGACCTAACGCCGAGTCGCAGTCTTTCCTTCTCAGCGAGTGTGCAGTGTGTGCATCAAACCTGATTTTGGGCGTCAAATGCGTCTTTTAAACTAGAATGAAATGGCTGCACGAGAAGCGACAAAAGAATATGTTCGATGCTCCGATTAGCCGCGCTGTTAGCTATCTCCTGGTCTTTTTTTTTTGGTCTATGTACCATCCTTGTCGTCGTTTGGTGGTGCGCGCCGAGAGCCAAACTTGGCTTCCATGGAGAACTTGACCGAGGTAAAAACGGCCCACGGCGCTGCGTCCCCGCCAATTTTCGCACACATCTTCCACTTTGTCGTCATCATCCTTCTCAGTTTCTTTCACCGTCCCCCCGTCCCAGGGTGGCATCATCGGCCAGCTCGTCGGACCAGCTGGCATGCCCGTTCGCGTCCAAGCCGACATCGTCCCCTGGAATTTGAACGGCTTGGGATAGATTGACTGTGTTCGAATGCTCCCGAGCCAGCATACACTATTCCGGCTCGTCTCGCGGGCAGGCTCGCCAAATCTTTGAAAAGAACATCCACTGACTAGCTTGAGAATCCGAGCGATGTTCAGTTCGTCACCAAGGGGCAGTATGAGACCTAAGTCCGGTATATTCCCTGTCCCGCATCGTGAAAGACCACATGTTTGCTTGCGGGGCTTGTGTAACCGCTGTTGCTGGTTTGAAATCAGTGGAATTTAGTTTACGTTGTTGGGTGAGGAATGGAACTAAGCAATGGCCCTAAAACAGACGGCAACCTACGGCGCTCGGACGCCATACATACACAGTTAAGCCCATAATAGAGCTA